AGAGAGAGAGAGAGAGAGAGAGAGAGAGAGAGAGAGAGAGAGAGAGAGAGAGAGAGAGAGAGAGAGAGAGAGAGAGAGAGAGAGAGGAGAGAGAGATAGAGAGAGAGAGACAGAAGAGAGAGAGAAAAAAAAAATAAAGAGAGAGAGAGAGAGAGAGAGAGACATAGAGAGAGTGAGACATAGAGAGAGAGACATAAAGAGAGAGACAGACAGACAGAAGACCGAAAAGAGAGAAAGACGAACCAGCACACACCGCCAGTCCGAACGCAAACGAGAATCACAGACTCTGAAACTTATTTGAACAAATCCTCCGAACTTAAGCCCCTCTAAAAATAGTCACGTGACGATGACTGCCTAAGCCTGCGCCCTTTTCACTCACTCATCCTCTCCCGGAGAACAAATCCTTCAGTTCAAAATGATTCGCGAAATAGAAAGAGATCGTCGCGCCATCCTTTATGCGATCTATCTATTAGAGTTTTTGTTCATCTGTTCATTTTGTTCAGTTATCGATTTGAATATTTATTATTGATTTATATTATATGTGTATATTTATCTATTCATTTATCTTAATATTTATTTGTCTTAATTATTGTGTTATTCATCAGTTAGTTTATTTATGTATTCCAATTCATTTATTTAGTTATCTCTTTACTGTTATATTTGTTTATTCATATTTTTATATTCAGTAATTCCTTTATTTATTCATGCGGTCTTTTTCTGCAAAAGGTCGTGGATTTCTGCTGTGGAGAGAGATCCCTTTCCGTATAAAGGTCAGAAAAGATGCGTCATTTAGGCAGGCATTCGGTTATTTAGGTCCACTGTCTCATAGAGTGTCACCACGCTTATCGTTTTGAAAGGGAGGGGGGATGGAGGAGACGGAGGGAGACGGAGATGGAGGGGGAGAGAGGGAGGGAAGGAGGGAGACGGAGGAGGAGGGGGCGGAGGGAGAGGGAAAGGAGGGCGGAGAGGGATGGAGAGGGAGAGGAACGGAAGATGGAGGGATGGAGGAAGGAGGGAGATGGAGAAGGGAGGGGAGGGATGGAGGGAAGGAGGGAGATGGGAGAAGGAGGGGGAGGGAATGGAAGGAGGGAAGGAGACGGAGATGGAGGGGGGAGGCGAGGAGGGAGAAGGAGGGGGGAGGGAGGGAGGAGAAGGAGCGGAGGAGGAAGCGGAGGGAGTAAGGGATGAGGAGAGGGAGACGGGAGATGGAGGGGAGAGAGGGAGGAAGGAGGGAGACGGAGGAGGGGGGAGGGATGAGGAAGAGCAGGGGGAGGGATGGAGAGGAGAGGAGGGAGACGGAGATGGAGGGATGGAGAAAGGAGGGAGATGGAGAAGGAGCGGGGGAGGGATGGAGGGGAAGGAGGAGATGGAGAAGGAGGGGGATGGATGGAGGGAGGAGGGAGAGCGGAGATGGAGGGGGGAGGAAGGAGGAGAAGGAAGGGGGGAGGGATGGAGAGGGAGAGAGGGAGACCCGCGAGGAGGGAAGGAGGGGGGTAGGGATGGAGAGAGGGAGACGGAGAAGGGAGGGGGTATGGAGGAGGGAAGGAGGGAGACGGAGAAGGAGGCGGAGGGATGGAGGGAGGGAGGGAGGGAGAGAGGAGAAGAGAGGAAGGGAGGGAAAGGGGAAAGAGAGGAGAGAGACGCAATGAGGAAGGGAAGAAGGGAAGAGAATGAGTGAGGGAGAAGTGAGGAGCGAGTGAGATGGAAGGGACGAGAAAGAGTGAGACGAGTGAAGGGAGATAGCGAGAAGGGGAGAGATGGAAAGAGGGAGAGAGAATGAGATCGAAGGAGGGAATAAGAGAAACATAAAAGAATGATAGACTATAAGAGAGAATGAAAAGAAACGAGAGAGAGGGGAGAGAGGAGAGAGGGAAAGAGGAGAGAGGAGAGAGAGAAGAGGGAGAGAGAGAGAATAGAAGAGAGAGAGAGAGGGAAGAGAGGAGAGGAGAGAGAAGAGGGAGAAGGAATGAGAGAGAGAGAGAGAGAGAGAGGGAGAGAGAGAGAGACAGAGAGAGAAGAGAGGACGAGAAGAGAGAGAGAGAGAGAGAGAGAGAGAGAGGGAGAGAGAGAGAGAGAGAGAGAGAAGAGAGAGAGAGGGAGAAGAGAGAGAGAGAGAAGAGAGAGAGAGAAGAAGAGAGAGAGAGAGAGGAGAGACGAGAGAGAGAGAGAGAGAGAGAGAAGAGAGAGAGAGAGAGAGAGAGAGAGAAGAGAGAGAGAAGAGAAGAGAGAGAGATGGAGAGAGAGAGAGAGAGAGAGAGAGAGAGAGAGAGAGAGAGAGAGAGAGAGAATGGGCTTATCATTCCATATCTTATCTTTCGTACTTTTTGGCATGTTACTTCACAGCGATTATCAGTGTCGTAACCGCAGGAACTTGTACCAAACCTTCGAGCGTTTGTCATGACGAGAGTAAGCTTAGAGTAAATGAGATTAGTAGAGTCAGAGCTGCTTTGCATAGTCATCAGAGGCAGAGTTGGATGTCTATATATAGGTTCAAACATACGTAGAGGAAGGGGGAAGGGGGAGAGGGAAAGGGAGGAGAGGCAGGGTAGGGGAAGAGGGAGAGAGGGACGGAGAAAAGGGAGAAAGAGGAGAGGGAAGAGTGAGGAGAGGGAAGAGTGGAGAGTGAGAGGGTGGAGGAGAGGGAGGGGGAGGAGGAGAGGAAGAGGGAAGAGAGAGGGGAGTGAGAAGAGGGGAGGGAGAGGGATGGGGAGGAGGTGGAAATGCGGGGGAGAGAGAAAAGAGAGAGAGAGAGAGAGAGCGAGAGGGAGAGAAAAAAACATACTCTGTCTGGCCTTGTTGCGAAGTCACCAACACTACCAAGGTGTAAGACGTTGTCCGAGCTACTCTTCGGGGCATGACTTGAACTCCTCTCCAGATCCGTTCAAGCCATCGCTCGCACGGAGACAGCAAAGGGATCGAGAACTCTTAGTGAAATGGAGTCATGGAGTCGGTAAACCTCCTGGATTGGTGTCCCCGGAGCTGACAGACCTCCTGGCAGCCACAGAGATCATCGGAATCGCAGTAGACTCTCGTAGAGGGAAACCTGGAGCTCAGATTTCCACGATCGAACGAGGGAGGGTCAGGCGCCGCGTGTGGCCGTCGACATTTCCTCATACAATGCGGTTCCTTGGCGGGGGATGCAGGTCAGCCAGCCATTTTATATTTTGTTAATATATTCATTCTCCCGCGATGCATGCGAGTAGTGCAAAAGAAGAATGTCTTTATTGATTTTCTATCATTTCTTTACATGTTTGATTTTTTTTTCACATTCATTCGTATATCCAACCATTTCCTAAGTACAGTTAACAGCCCTGCCACACTCGCAAATGAATATAGATCGTCATGTCAACAAACACATCACTTGGAGCGCATTTTCATCTGGCAACAGCGGTCGCATTATAAAATCCTTTTCCTCGGCATCACTATGTTCTATGTGATTTCCATGTAGGCACAACACAGATATGTAGAGGAAAGAAATATTCAAACATGTGACGTAATATGGTTTTCAAAGAAAGGAAATGTAAATCTTTTTAATCCTTGACACATTATGCCTTTGTTACATATGTGTTCATACAACACCAACACACACACACACACACACACACACACACACACACACACACACACACACACACACACACACACACACACTCACACACAGAAAATATAAAAAGCGAAACGAAGCGTAGCTCACGGGGCCACATGCTGCGAAACCCGCGGTCCGATCTTCCTTCCGGGGGCGCGGGCCGGCAAATCCTCCGTCAGGGGAAATCTGCAGGATTCCGAGGGCCTGCGCTGAAGGAGGCGCGGCAGGACCAAGGCCGAGGGGCAGGCGCGGCGCGCTCGGATTGGATCTCGAGGACGCTGGCAAGTTGGAAAGGATTAGAGATGAGAACGAGAGGGAGAAGGAGGGGGAGAGTGAGAGAGAGAGATGGAAAAAGAGAGGAAGAGGGAGGGAAATCGAGGAAGAGAGCAAGAAGGAGAAGGAGGGAGAGGAAGAGAGAGGGATTTAAAGAGAGAGAAAGAGAAAGATAGTAAGAGAGAAAGAGAGAGAATACAGATAGACAGACACACGGGAAGGCAGGCAGGCAGACAGAGACAGACAGACGAGGTGGCATTGAGGAAGAAGTCAGAATCACTGGTGAATGAATTGAATAGAAAGCAGAATTTGATGCTCTTCTCTGGGGGTGAGGTTACGGTAGGGAAGGTAGAGAGATGGGAGAGGGGGGGGGACGGGGAGGGTGTGAGATTACAGTAGGAGACTGGGGCGAGGCTGGGAGGAGGCATGCGTGTGGCGTCAAGCATGCCCAGGAGTAGAAAATAAGGGTGATAATGCCAAAAAAAAAAAGGAAAACCGAGAAGAAGGGTATCCATAATCCCAGGGTACACACCAAGACCGGGTCCCAGCTGTTGTGGTAAGGAATAGCCGTGCTTTGTGTCCGACTTAGCAAGGCAATGCGGATTCAGGAGTGCGATTGATCCCGTATGGGGAAGGATATGAGGGGACAAGGATGAGGGGACACAAGGATAAGGGGACAAGGATGAGGGGACAAGGATAAGGGGACAAGGATGAGGGGACAAGGATCAGGCGCGGATTGAGATCAAGGAGGAGGTGGTTATGTCATGAGGGATGAATAATAGTTTGGATTTTATTGGTGAGAATGATTATTTTTTCGAGTGCGAGTGCAGAAATTAGTATAAGGCTGTCGGTAAATATGTTATGTAAAAATGATTAGTGATTGATATTTTATAATGATGAAATATGATTAGAGATAAATATTAAGGTCAAGGAGGGGGGACTGTTCTGTTATGAAGAATCAATAATGATTTTACGTTTTATTGTTAAGCCATTTTTTACGAAGTCAAAATCAGAAATAGGTCTTAGGTTGTCAGATATGATCAAAGGTAAGATAGATCTTGGCACGGAACTTGTCCTATATGGTGGATTTACCCGCACCGTCGATACGAGATATGGAGCAGGTGCCTCAGGCCACACCTGG